TTCCAGATCGAGTACCCCGGTCACCCAATTCAACATCGCCACCCTACAAGCAGAACTGGACGGGCGCCTGGGACCCATGGGAGGCCGAGGTTGTGTTGGTGTGCGCGATGTCTCCAAACCGAACCCGCTAGGCCCCGATGGCGGTGATGATTATGATGAACTGTTGGAGTTGGGGCGGAGTGTGAGGGGAACGAGTCGGTTGGAGGAGGAGCAGGAGCGGTCGAGGAAGAAGCTGGTTTCTGGGGTAGAGAGGTGGTTGGATGGGGTGGAGGATGGGGTGCCAGCGGAGGGTTGAGTATCTTACTCTGGTACCTACTTCTGGCTTTGATTTTGTGTTGCCTTGTTTGGGTGGGTGGATCTGCACCGTTTCGACGGATACACGCGTGCAACCACGGTGTGTGGAAGGGCTACGGAGAACCAGCTTGTTGGGCAAAACCTGGCTATTTATATCAGGGCGCCGAACGGGCAGCCAGACCAGACCATTTGCTGATACACATATACTTTGGGCTTTGTATGAAGGATAACCAATAATGGACCTTATCAGCCATTCTGCGTTACGTTACCCCAATTCTCGTCCAAGGTCCGTCCACCGACGACAGTTTTATTTATCATCCTCTCCGATCCGGTGGGGAGGGAGGGTCCATTCCCTAGCGACGTACCTGTTCGCGTCTCACCATTTCTTACAAACGAAAATATCTCATCCGAAGACAATAACAGCACATGGAAACGGAAGGAAACAAACCATCCCCGCTCCAAAAATACAATCGAATTGTCCATCTCAGTCCTGCCACGAAGATAAAGCATACATCACCATCCTGGATGTTCACAATTCATGCACTAACTACCAATTTTTACAAAACCAGCATAAGAAAAATTAAAGGAAGGCCAAAAAGCACGCCCCCCCACGGAACCACAATTACTTCCCAAGACATACGCTACTCTTACGACCTCACAACCTCACAGCAACCACTCTCGGCGTGGATGAACTGAATTTTACCCACCAGCCTACTTAATCTAGGCACTATACCCCCATCCATACCACTTTTTCCTTCCTTTCTTTCTATCCCTTTTAGCCCTACTCTTTACTCCTTGATGGAGGTGATATGATGTAGTAGTTGGTTGATTATCGAGATCTATCTATTGTGCGGCCTTTTATGTGTGGTAGGCGTTCGCCAAGCGATCGGCGAACACCTCGCTTATGCGGAAGCGGTCGGCCCGTAGGGAGGGAATCCGACACTCCTTGCTTTTATACTGCCTTTTTTTTTTTTTTTTTTTTTTCTTTTGGTTTTTGGTTTTTTCGCGAAGTTTGGAGTTATCCATATATATCTCCGCCCTTCCTGTACGTTCATGGCCTCCTTTCTCTAATGCCCTATAGTATATATATTTGCTTCTTTGTTTCTTTTTTTTAATTTCATTCCCTTTTTGACACGAGTGATGGCAATGGCAATGGCAATGGCAAGCGTACTAATAGCATAACATAACATAGCATGTCCTAGGAGCCGGGGTTTCTTTGAGGGCCGCCCCGATGGGGGGTGGGGGAGAAGGAGGAGTCTTATAACTAGCGTCGATTCGGTCTTGTTCTTTTTATATATATAAAATATCTTAATGCACACGAGCCTCTGTGTGCAAAGACATTGCAGAGCTAAGCTCAAAACAGAAGGCCCTGTAAGATTGATTTTACAGCTTATTATTAATAATAATAGAAGAGATAGAACTGTAAAAACATATAGAGATTCATTTTTCAGTGTAAAAGCATCATTTAACTAAGTAAGAAAAAAAACAAAAAACACTCTGCTCTGTCTCACTAGCTTATATATCATTCTTAAGAACAGTTTAAGTAATCTGAAGAAGACTTGTAATAGTTCTGAATTTAGTCTTCAGAGCTGTATTCTTCTTATACAGAGTCTCATTTTCAATATAAAGAGTCAAAATCTTAATATCATAACTGTTAACTGACTTAATACTTGTTATCTACTTTTTCAAGACTCTAGTCTCTGTATTCTCAGCTATAGAATACTTCTTAAATAAACTCTTCTTCTTGACTTTCTTTTTCTTTTCATTCTTCTACTTCTTTTCTTTCACTTTATTATTCTTCTTACTGATATTAACTATATATAACTATTAGTTAATTGTATTGAAATTGATATATTTTATATTAAAAAGTGACTCACTTCTTGTAAAAGGTCTACACTGAATAGATCAGTATAATGTTAATAGGTCTTATATAATAACATATACAGTGAAGTTTTAAGACACAAGAATCTATATGTGTTTATAGCAGCTAAGAATCAGTGATTGAGAATGACTGAGAATTAAAGTATATACATTTAAGAATGAAGCAGAAGAATCTATAAAGTGTAACAGAATAGTTTATATAATTAATCAGACATAGTCTGTTACATTAGTCTCTCTCTTTCAGAAGCAGTTCTTATCAGTCAAGAACTGCTGTTTCAGATAATATAGAACTCAGAGTTCAGATTAGTTAATTATAACTAACTTATTTCATAAGATATTATTAACTACAGCTGTGAAATCTCTTATGAAGAATATTTTCAATTTCTTACTTAAGCTTATTATCTTCTTCTATGATGTCTGATAGCTGTTAGTTAAAAGTCAGTTCAGAAGAGAATAGATCAGTGATAGTATAGTAAAGTAAGCTTATATAAAAGATATTATAAATCTCTAATAATATATTAAGATAGTAATTATAACTATCTAGAACTTCTATTACTTTATATCTGATATAATAATAATCTAGTGTATAAGATAAATATATAGTTTATATATTCTTAAGATTTAATTATATAAGATCTTCTATCTTATACTGCTTTATAAGATTTTATTAAATATTAATTTAATCTTCTTAATCTTATTTCATAGTTATTATAAAGATCTCTACTTAGTCACAGATATCTTAAAGCTTTATTACTATATTATTAATAATTTGAATTGAACTGTAGAGATTCAGTATAAACTGTGTAATCTCTAGAAGATTTAATACTTTTATATAATATTTATATATAAGAAAGAATATGTGATTCAGAAGAATATACAGCTGTTGAATAATAACACAGCTGCTTCTGAACTTGCTTATAAGTGTAAAGAGGCTATAGCAGCTGCTAATTAATTTAGTGTATAATATTATAATATATAAGAAGTCAGTGTACATCTGTAATTATATACTGACTTAAGCAATCTTTGAATCACATCTGATAGCATGTTTAAAAATTAGTAAGAAGTGCAGACTTCTTCAGAGTGTGATAATTTCATCTACAAAGCAATTCATAGTTATTATGTCAGTGTGATTCTAGAACATCTCAAAAGATAGTATAGAAAGAATAATGAGTGAAAGAGCATTCAATTGATACTGCTTTGCTTATTTGTAAGAAATCCCGCTTCTCGCGGATTCTTTACCTCTATTTCTATCTCTTGTGTAATCAATAGGGCTAGCGGCCCTTGGCTACACACAACTATATAGACTGAAGTTCATGAATACTATTCATAACTCAGCTTGAATACTATTATACATTTAATCTCTATATTTTATCTTTCTATTATAAATACTTCTAGTAGTTAACAGTATATATTATATCAAGCTGTAAACACTTAAATAATTATCTGTGAGCACTTATTCTTATATTTCAAGCTCAGTCAGTCAGTAATCACCTGTTATAACTGAAAGAACTAGAAACTTATATACTTCAATCTCTGTGAATCTGACTGCAGACACTCAGAAGCAGTTATCTGAATTATGAATAATCTCTGTAAAAGAAGTCTCAGAGAACTTATTAATTACTTATAGAATATTATTCTCTGTATCTGTGACAGAGAAACTCTCTGAATCTATAAATAAATTAATCTCAGTGAAGAACATTCTTGAGCATCTTCTACAGAATTAAGCTATTTTTCTATAAGAAATACTTACTGTCTGTAAACACTCTTAAACTGAGTCTCTAGACATAATCTTCAGAGATATCTACAAACTGAAAAAAAACTTTCTTAAGCTATGACTACTTAAGATTATCTATTGAATTACAATCTATAAAAGCTTTTATAAGTTTGTATTTGAAATTGACTCATAAGCCTGACTATATAATATAAAAGATGAAGAAGCTGTTATCTATATAATAACAGATCTCTATTATACTGAAATCAAGAACTGACTGAATTATCTAAAGAATGATTATAAGAGATTCTACTGATCTATTCTTAAAATCTATCTGAAGAATAAGTTAAAAGACTCTATGAGCTGAATAGAAAATATCTGAGCTGTGATTATTAATATTAGAAAAAGAGATAAGAAATCTGATGAAGACTACTTACAGTACTTTATAAAATTATAATATAAATTAAGATCTGTGAAAATAGAGCTCTGAAATAAGATCTGAATAATAATATTTATAAAGAGACTGAATAAAGATATATAGAATAAGCTTATTAAGTAAGACTCTAAGCTCTTAATTCTGAAGAAACTGATAACTCTCATTCATTACTTACAGATTACTATAAGAGTCACAGATCTGTGAAAAGTGAATCATTAACTAACTCTGTAAGAGTCAGAATAACAGAGAACAGATTTGTCAGAAAAAGATGATAAGATATAGAGAGATTCATATCTAACTACTGAGTAGAGAGAAAGAGCTTTATAAGCTTCTGTAAACAGAGTGTATAATAGAGAGATTAAGAAAAAGAGACTCTACTTTATCTATTTTAAATTAGAACATCTTCACACAAACTGTCTGAACAAATTAAAATAGAAATTTAAGAAGTCATAGACAGAGTCAGTAACAGTCTTCTTAAGAGTCTTGAAGCTGATATCTGAATCTGTTACTTCTTCAATGAAAATACTTACTTCTAGAGAGAGATTACACTGCAGTACTACTATTCTACAAGTATAAGAAGTATTAATGAACTCAGAATCTCAGATCACTGTGATGTTTCTAAAGCTCACAGAGTGTATGAGCTGAAAGATGAAGACTGAAAACCTGCTCTTATAATAAACAGAGTATAAGAACTCAGATCTGAGAACTGAGAGACTTATAAGAGTTATCTTTGAATTATAAGATCTCTCTGAAATCTGAAGAAGATTTATAAAAACTGTAATTATCATGAATATCACAGATAATATGTACTTAAGACTTGTATAACTTTAAAGACATAATCTGCACATAGCTGTCTGTGAGTCAGATTTATACTTTCAATCAGTGTTAACAGACTCACTTATGAAGATAGAATCAGTTAATACTGTAAAGTTAATTAGAGAAGATAAGCTCATCTATATAATGACTTTACAAG